AGGCCCCCCCCCCCCCTTCTAACAGCAAACCGGGAGAGAGCAGGCAGAGGTCCTCGACCATTGCCAAACGTGCCCGCCTTGACGAGACCATATCTCCTAGAGGCGAGCACAAGCGGCAAAAGGTTGAGAGGCCCGCTCAGCAACGCACCTACGCCGAGGCCACCAGGCCCGAACTCATGGCTGTAATTACTTCAGCCAAAACTGGCTACATACGGAGCCCCGATGCCGACATGGTTCAGGTGGCCCTATGTCAGCGCCTCATGCAAGGAGCGGAGGAGTGCAGCGAGGAGGACGTCGGCCCACAGTTTCGTGGTAAACCTGTCTACAGTGACGGGTCCCTGAAACTGTGGTGTCAGGACACAGCCACCTTCCAGTGGCTAGAGGATGCTATTAGCACCATCAGGCTGCCATCCGGGGAGCCCCTCTCATTGAAAAATGGGGTGGAGGCTCTCCGGAGGGTGGTCTGTGGACTACTCATCCCTGGTCACTGGGAGGATGCGCGTCGAATCGGCCGCACCCTCAAGTGGCAAACCCCTGGGCGGAGGCACACCGCTGGGTTGTTCACAGGCTGCAGCAGCATAGTGGCAACTCCTTTGTAGTGGTGAGCCTCCCAGAAGAGCTCGTCCCCGCTATCCTGGGGCATGGCCGGCGCCTAACCTTCCAGTTGGGCACGGTCTACCTCAGGTTTAGATCAAAGAGGGGCCTGTACACAGATGTGCCACCCGAGAAGACGGGCACAACAACGACGCGGATGGACGTCTCCCCGGAGCCCTCCACCTCCTCCAATATTCCCGGAGAAGGTGAAGGGCCCTCCTCGACCCCCGTCTCTGCGGACGCCGCTGTCAAACCGGTGGCGACCAGCAGTGACGACGAGTGCGTGTTGGGGATGGGAGACATCCGACTGAGCGAGGACGTGGACGAGGAGCTGCTATCATCTTATGGCGGTTTCCCCCTCGCTCAGTAAACTTCACATCGTCCAGAGCAACCTCCACCACAGCCAGGCCGCAACGGTTCAGCTCCGGAAATGGTTGGAGGCCAACAACACAGCCATGGCACTAATCCAGGAACCGTGGATTAGTGCCCGTGGCCAAATGAATGGACTCTCACATCTGAGAGGTAAGCTACTATCGACTACCATCTCAGATAAACCTAGAACTTGCATATATTACTCCAATAACTTACATGTACAGCCACTAACTGAATTCTGTTCCAGAGACCTGTGTGCCGTAAAGCTTTTAGCAGACGCGGCCACGGGTCTGCCTGAAGTGGTGCTCGCCTCTGTCTATATGGCGGAGACTGATGTGCCACCACCACAGGAAATGGTTCAGCTAATCAACTACTGCGAGCAGAACGGCCAGAATATCATCGTGGCTACTGACTCCAATGCCCACCATCCGCTGTGTGGCATGGAACTCGCAAATGATAGAGGTAAGAACCTAACAGAATACTTATTCACAACTAACCTTCAAATCCTTAATAAAGTATAGTACCAACTTTTATAAATAAAAGATGTAGAACTATTATAGACCTAACCCTAGCGTCAGAAGGAGCAGTGGACCTTATCCGCAACTGGCACGTGTCCGAAGAAGCATCTTTCTCGGACCACAGATGGATAAGATTCAGCTTAGAAACAACTATTAAAGAACAACAACCGAAACGGAATCCCAGAAAAACCGACCGTAAACTATACGCGGACAAACTACACCAGAACCTGGGAGAACCGGGAGCACCGGGAAGACTACTGGGCACAGCACAGATAGAAACACAGGTTAAAGAACTAACATCAAACATATTGAACAGCTATAACTCCGCATGCCCACTGAGTGACGCAGCCCCGCGACAAGGTCGACACTGGTGGGGACCTGAGCTTGAGAGGCTACGAAGAAGGGTAAGGAGACACTTCAATAGAGCAATGAACACATGCGCGGATGAGGACTGGGAAAACTACAAGACGGCCAAATCCAAACTAAAAAAGCGCATACGGTTCAGGAGCACCGCGTCATGGCGAGGCTACTGCGGGAACATCACGTCTTGCGCACAAGCAAACAGAATAAGGAAAATCCTAGGCAACTCAAATTCAACTGAGCTAGGTTCAATACGCAAAATAGATAACACATACACAACTTCCCCTGCGGAAACGGAAAGAACCCTACTGGAAGTACATTTCCCAGGATGTAGGTTCGTCCAAGACGACAGGTGTGTAGAAATGAACTACACCACATCGATCCATAACTGGCGATACGCAGAACAAGTAGTGACATACGAAAAGACAAAATGGGCAGTAAACACATTTGAACCATACAAAGCTCCGGGCCAAGATGGAGTATTCCCTGCACTCCTACAATGGGGCGGGGACACACTGGTCCAGCACCTGGTCAGCATCTTTCGGGCCTGTCTAGCATTCAGCTATGTGCCCCACAGCTGGCGAGAGGTAAAAGTCATATTTATACCGAAACCAGGAAAACCCGACTACACTGACGCGAAGTCCTTCAGACCAATCAGCCTCACATCGTTCTTCTTGAAGACTTTAGAAAGGATATGTGACAGAGAACTGAGGGATGGAGCGCTTAAGAACATTCCATTACACGGTAACCAACATGCATACAGCCAAGGCAAATCCACTGAATCGGCCCTACATGCCGTTGTGGGCAAGATAGAAGTGGCCCTTAAAGACAAAGCAATCTGCCTAGGCACCTTTATAGATATTGAAGGAGCCTTCGATAAAACCAACTTCTCCAGCATACAATCAGCAATGAAAAGACACAAAGTAGACGAAGTGCTAATTAGCTGGATTAGCAACATGCTGAAACAAAGAACAATAAAAACAACAGCAAATGAGACCCCATGGGCCATAGTAGCGAAGGGGTGCCCTCAAGGAGGGGTATTGTCGCCTCTGCTGTGGAACATGGTCGTAAATGACCTTATCATTAAACTCAACAAAGAACATTTCTATACAATAGGATATGCTGATGACATAGCTATACTGGTAACAGGAAACTATGCCAATACACTCTGCGACATTACACAAGCGGCTCTCCGAATTGTGGAAAGATGGTGCAGAGCATATGAACTATCGGTAAATCCAACAAAGACGGAACTAGTAATGTTTACCAACAAACGACTACTAGGTAACTACCGATTACCCAAACTCTTCTGCACAGAACTACAGATATCAACCGAAGTCAAGTACTTGGGAGTAATACTGGACAACAAGTTGAACTGGAACAAACATCTGGACAACAAAATTAAAAAAGCTACTATCACCTTCTGGCAGTGCCATAGAATGGTGGGTAAACAATGGGGACTATCACCCAAGATAACACTATGGCTCTACACTGCGGTGATAAGACCCATGATCAGTTACGGCGCGATAGCATGGTGGCCACGAACCAAGCTGACGACCGCAACCGACAAGCTGGACAAATTCCAAAGACTCGCTTGCATGGCGACGACCGGCTGCATGAGGACGACCCCAACTGCGGCCCTCGAAGCGCTGCTGGACCTTCGACCCCTCCCACTGTTCATCAGACAGGAAGCGGCGTCAACAGCAGTGCGTCTAAACAGAGCCGGCCTCTGGAAGCACATGAGGACCCCACATACAGAAATCCTTTACAAGATTGTCAATGAGGAACCGCTACTGGAGGCGGTTGTGGATAGGATCCCAAAACAATACATCTTTGACAAGAAATACAAGATACAATTATTTGAAGATCCCAACGAAGGACTAAACCCCAGAGAGGTCCGAGTCTTCACAGATGGATCTAAAACAAACTCAGGAACAGGTACTGGGGTATTCTCAGAAGACCTCAATATCAGGATATCAGCACCGCTTGGTGACCACAACACAGTATTCCAGGCTGAATGCATGGGCATCAAGTTGGCGGCAGAAGCAATCATAGCGAAAAGAGTAAAGAACTACTCCATTCGAATACTCTCTGACAGTATGTCAGTACTTCAAGCACTGAATAGCTATGACATAAACTCAGGGCTCATTTACGAATGCCATCAAGCACTCATGGAGGTATGTATACAAAACCACGTAACTCTTCAGTGGATTAAAGGACACAGCGGCTCACGTGGCAATGACGCAGCAGATGAACTAGCCAGGAAAGGGTCGGAGACGGACGCTGTAGGACCAGAACCGATAGTGTCCCTCCCCTGCCAATAGTCCAGAACAACTATACACAAAGGTACAAAATCTTTACATAATAATACATGGACCACCCTTACGGTTTGTAGACAGGCGAGGGAAGCACTCCCAACGCTCAACGCCAGTCTATCTCGAATACTAATTAAACTTAAAAGGCAAGAGCTTCGCACTCTAACTGCCGCGCTAACGGGTCATGGTCCATACAATAAACACCTTTTCAATTTAGGTATCACAGACAGCCCTCTATGCAGAGCGTGCATGGAGGGGGAGGAAACGGCTGCGCACATCCTACTTCAGTGCTCCGGCGTGGCCAACTACAGGGCAAAATACCTTGGAGTGCCAAGGTCGCTCCCCGAAGTCTTCAGCAAACCAAGGAGGCTGCTGAGATTCCTGGAGGAGCTTGGGTGGCACGAGTAGGACCCTGCACCCACCACACGCAAAATAGGCGCTTTGTCGTCGAGTTGAGGATATCAGCCCGTTGCACCAAGTACCAAGTACCAAGTAAGTACGAAGGGAGAGTTTACCATACTTGTTAAGAAGTGGGTGGAGGCGGCGCATAAAAAAAATGGGCGCGATTTCGGACGATTTTCACGTGTGCTTTGCACGGTAGCTTCCTATCGAGCTTAACTCTTAGGTATTTGACCGTGTTGTCAGCTGGTATTTTCTTTTATGAAGGATATTTTGCAGTTGGCCGCTGATGGCCTTGACTGCGCCACCGGATTAAAGGCGGGCTGAAGGCTCATAACCCGTAAAATAAACTTAAAACTCAGCTCGCACAGAACGGTTAGTCATATTTATACCCCAGTACCCCCACTCTAGTTATAATTATAAATTTTTCTTTTATTAAAGAAAAATTTATAATTATATAAAAAAATTTAAATTTTTCATCTAGTTATAAATTTTTATTTAATTACCTTAATATTTTTCTTGATTCTCGGTATTTCCTGGTAGTTGTTAATTTTCAGTAATTTTGTCATTTTCATAACGTGGCAAACACCTTCCTAGAAATAGTAACATACTTTCATCAATAACTATTGATGTTTCGATTCCGATGCAACTTTTTTAACATACTATGTCCAGATAGGGTCCATATTCTTTCTTCAACGGCAAACCATTTTGCTTAACCCACTCTAGGGAATTGCCGAGCCATCCGCCATCACAGCCATGGTTGCGTTCTCTACAAAAAGTTAGTCGGCAACAATGCATGAAACTATGATATATATATATTACAAACAATATTTCTATGTCAACTTCAGTTACTGTGTGAACATAATTTTCCATCAAAATGTAGAACCGATAATGCTTTACTTAACCAATATGATTTTATTATATTTATTAAGCGAAGTGGAGATGCGTCGCGCCGCTTTTGAAAAACATGGAATAACCAGAAAAGTAAGCAATTCCGGCTGGAGATAACCAACGTCTTAAAAGTTTTAAGGCATCGAGTATATAACCAAAAATGGAGGCGAAATAAGGCCCATCTATCCCTGACAACACATCAGGCAAATGGGCCTTTTAAATATCAACTCTTGTTACCGCTGAAATCACAAATTAGAAAGCTGAAATAGTATAGCGCCGACAACTGATCTGTGTATACGTCTCCGTACATTCCAACAATATATTGATTTTATTGCAATAAAGATAATACCACTAACAACGGGGGTTGTTCCATTGTGTGGGAAAAACATCTAATTAGAAAACAAACGGAATCACATTTCATCGGTAATTAGATATTAAATATGTAATTTTTAAATTTTCGTCCATTAGAAATTAGAAATTAGAAATTAGAAATTAGAAATTAGAAAGCCATTTATTGCACAATCACAAACACGCATATAAACAAAAAACAAAAATAATAATAAAAACAAAAGGACATTGAGGAACAATAATAATACAAAATATGCAGGTAATTCATCGTCATGCGTGTCGCGACTAGTGCAAACGGGACTTGCTCAGCTTTAGCCACAACCGGTTTGTTTACCGTGTCGTGGCACTGATTTTCAGCAAGCCCGGGCGAGTGAGTCACTGACAATGATAATTAAATCGAAAAAGAAGTAAACCTAAAGACATTATAGCAAAGCTCAAGTTAAACTTGTCGATTTGAAGTGAAACAATTGACGGCACCCGACAATTGTTTCACTTCAGTTGGGCTGGCCAATCGGAGCGCAGTTGCCATCGTAATGATTTGGTAGAATAGTTTTCAAACAAATCAAATGACATTTCGACTCTATTTCTGGTTATATACTCGATGTTTTAAATTATATACTGAAATAATAATGCAAACAGACGCAGACATGAAAATAAACCTACACCCAACTGCAATCAACGACAGCCTGTTCGCTAGCTTCCTCGAGGTGTTTGCAGCCTCTTTGAACGTAGGCAGCTGATTCCACCGCTGCAGCAGTGACGAATGCGTAGCACGAGCCGCAGAGCGTCGTCTGATCTAGTATAAGCATAGTGAAGCTTCATAAAAATTCATGAAAACCGTATATAAGTTACGGTATGAGTACAACCGTCGTTTCGTTCATAAAGCGCAATAAGAGCAAAAATGTAAATTCATTAAATGTATTACCTTTAATTTCAGTAATAGCTCCAAACTTCCTCCAATCAAGTTCTCTTTCTATATTGTTATCGCTTCCTTTAACGTCATTATTATTATCATCTCCACCGTCATCATCATTTTCATCTATATCACCCGTGTTATATCCTTTAATATATTCACCAGTGACCTTTAACCCCATGACTGCGGATAGTTCATCATCAGTTCTGTCTGCGAGATGATTAATGGCGAGGTTGTAAGAATTGTGTTGACGATTAAAGGAATTTATATATCTGAAAGTATAGTAAGTCTTGTTGACATCTAAACACATACATTAGTTCTAAATTCTCTACCAATTTATTACTTTAACATTGTTATTAATATAAAAAGCTGCAACGTTTCCTCAGTTTATTGCTAAAAGCTTTATTAGTACCTCATGTTTTTCATGAAAACTGTCAGCCTGTTTTGATGTTCGTCCTCGGTTGAATACTTTCTTTTATATTTGATTTTGAAGCTGCAAAACAATTAAATTTTATAGTTACGGCCGTTTACATTGAAATGTATATTTTGGCATGGCAATTCTTAATAGATAGATGACGCAACTACTTGTTTCTCATAATCTACTTACTTGTGAAATGCCTTATTAACTCTGGTATGCTCTATGGACGGATTTGTGAATTCCATCAAAGGATCTATCGGCTCATGCTCTGATAATCTCGCAGATTCGCAATCTATACCTAAATTTGAAAGAAGAGAGAGAATTGAAATTGGAATCAACGCGATGCTATAGCAGTAGAAACCCATAAATGAAACAATCTTACCCAAAGGCACCTGCAACATAGTATCTTCAGGTCTGATTTCTTCAAAGTAAGTGTAATCGTGTTGATAAGAATCGAGTACTTTGTATTTGTCCCTCATTTCATAAATATACCTGAATTAAATATAAGAGGCAAGTGTATAATGATTAGGTTAATAAAAGCGACAGTAAATCAATAAAGTTAAAACTTAATAGTGAAACAGCTGACTCAAGTTTCTGTCGGAAATAGTAGTCATATAAAAATGCTGATGAGTTCGTTTAGACTTTGAAATAGTGGCACTTCTCTTTGTTGAGGTGCCATCTCCTACCGGAGGTCGGCTATCGTCAGGGCTATCTGTACTTTAGACACAACCTCACAGAACAAGGATCTTGTGCTCGGATTGAACCATGTAAGGAGATGTCAATAGAAGAAATTAGTTTTGTTTTTATAATGCAACATGACCGTGGTGGCCTTATGATTTGACCTACTGCCTCTCAAGCAGAGGGGCGTGAGTTTGAAACCGGGCTTGCACCTCCGAGTTTTTGAAATTATGTGCAAAATTTAATTTGCAATGAATGAGCTTTTCGGTGAAGGAAAACATTGTGAGGAAACTGCACACATTTGCAAAGTGATATGTGTGAAGTTTCCAATACGCATTAGGCCCGCGGAACTACAGGCCTAGCCCTCTCATTGTGAGAAAAGACCTGTGCTCTGAGGTGGACTATACAGGGTCATTTGTTAAATACTAACAACCTCGCAGGGCTATATTCCTAACATCATAAACATCAACTTTTGTTGTATGAATATTTTATAAAACATAATAAATTCACCGAAAATAAAGGTTTGCGTTTTTGTTGTACTCTCTAACACTTTTTAGATCTGCATTTGTTAGCAAGGTAGTAAGTTCGGACTGGTATACTTACGCTAACGCTTCCTTTTTTTACCGGACAGCTGTATTACCGTCTAGAGCGATCTATATTTAATAAAATTTTATTTTTTTATGAAAATAAAAGCTAATGAATTATTAAAAGTCATGGAACGACCGTTGTTGTTTATGATATTGGTAATAGAGTCCTATGAGAATGTTGGTTTTTTTTCTTCAAATAACCCAGGCTAACCTAACTATGTGGCCTTATTCAAGGTAGCGGCGGGCGCAGGCGCGTGTAAATCAAATGTACATAGACGCTCGTTGAGTTCTCTGTGCTTAGTTCTAGCGTCTAGCGTCTGTTTGCAATTTCGTGTGGATCTACGCGGTCGTAGCCGCTTCGTCACTGTAAAAGGGAAGACGCCAAGACCCGTGCGCCCCGACCCGCCACCGCGCCCACGCCTGTACTCTGCATAAGTACTATTATAACTATTTTATGTAATGCAACATGGCAAGGATCTAGCTTTGACTAGTTGGCTTTCTGTGAATACCGTAAATGTTCATGTCTTTATTCGTCGTTTTAGTGATCTACATTTAAATACATAGACAACAAAACCAAATTAAAAAGACCGTTATGTACCTAACAGGTATAATCTTCTTACTACCATTCATAGTCCAAATTTCGTTCACCCAGATTGTGTAGATTGCCTGCACGTTGTCCTTTGCATATATCGTCTCGACGTAGATCCATTTTTGAGCCTTAATACCTCCTAAGTTTTCGTTCTCTGGAAATATTACATCATAATATCTAATTAGATCTACCAGCGGACGAGTTCCTCTGTTTGTTGATAGTCTACGGGAATTGGTGTTGTTTTTTTTTACTACCTCAATGTTCTCGTCAGAAGTCATTTGCAGCCACTGGCAGCCAATTCTGTCAACGTCTTTCAAATAAATATTCCATTTTTAAATTGAGAAGGGGATGTTAATACTAATCTGTATTTCCACACACTTTCATTCAAACTAACCCATTTCAAAGTTGCACGGAAATGTTCTCCTTGAATTTCATTTTTAGAAAGAAAAGCGCGAGAAATTAAGTTGAAAAACAATTTTCAACTCTCTTTTCAACTTTTTTTTTCATTTTGACCAATAAAAATAATAGTATTGCAATCCGAATTTGTTCATTGTTTTAACAAAAGTTAGCTCAAGTTGTTTTGTAATATTTGGAAGTACCTTAACACTTTCGAAGTCATCACTTATTTTCTATTATTTAATAATTATCGTACTCACTGACAAAAGAATAGTTCTTGATGGGCAAATAAGAATTCTGGTCGCTTGAGATAAGCTCGTTAGTAGCATTCATTACTCTGCATGACACTACATTGGTGTTCTTGCTGATGCTCGTTGGGTAAATCTGTACCAAAACAGCTACATGTTAGAGTATAACCCTAGGCGCCCACTTACACGAGGTGAAAGTTTCGGCGCGGCAACCGCGCGGCGACCGCTCGGCGGCCGCACGGGGTTAGCGCGGTGAATAAGACTTACCACACACTGGCGCAGAGTCAGCGCGCGTCGCCTGGCGGTGGAATTGAAAAATAGGACGCGACGCGACGCTTCGACTCTGCACCAGTGTGAGTTGAGCCTAAATGCACTCTAAGGGAGATGCCACACGGGCGTTGCATCGGCGTTTCGGCGTTGCGTCGTCGCAACTGCGTTGATATCAACGGACTAAGTGCCACAGGAGCTGTTCCGATGCGCGCTGTTTCAACGCACCACGTGTGGCATCTCCCTAAGGGAGACGTTGAGGTAAACACCCTCGTCACAGATTTTGTCAGGAATTATTGGTGCCCTATTCATTCTTCGTTATTAATTCGTTCAGTCGGCAAAGAAATAATAACGTCAGTTGATAGCAATTATTTATATCAACTTTTCACGGTATTTAGGTCGAAAGTAGAAAAGATGGATCGATACAGAGTAGCGCGCCACTGTCCACCCGTTCTAGACTGCCTGACCATCCAAGTCGTCCCCATTCCATCACCAAGTCGTGTGCTTGCGCTTCTACCCCTTCTTGCCATCTGTGTATTGACCTTACATACGTTTATTGCTCGATGTTTTCAACTACTACAATCCAAAGCTACTAGATGGCGTTGTAATTAAATTAACTTCTTGGAAATCAAATATAGACTAATGACGCCGCGGCGATGAGGCTGCAACTTAAATATCGTCGGTGTTTTGTGAAAAGGGCGCAAACGCCATTTCTAAATCATCTCTGGGGAGTATGTTTTAGTTTTTCACAACTGTTTTAAAATATTAACATTCCGTTTTGAATTCAATTTTAAAACTTACGCTTAATTAAAACTATATTTTAATTTTAAAACAGGACGTAACTATTTTAAAACAGTCGTCAAAACTTAAATCGAATGTTAACATCCAGCGTTACCGTCGCTTCATTATGGTATGATACAAATAATAAAAACGTATATAATAATAATTATTTCTTATGCAAGGCTGCAAAGTTGTTTTTTGACGCGAGTGCTTGTATTGAAACCTGAGCAAGCGAAAGAAGCTAAGATTGAACCACGAAGGTAGCGAGTGGTTCAAAAATAGATTCCTGAGCGTAGCGAGGGTTTCAAGGCACGAGACGCAAAACAACTTTGCAGCAAAGCGAAACACACAACTTTTCACCTCATTATAGCGAGGAAAATGTAAGATGAAAGAAAAACAGTTGAACTATAAAACATCAGTTTTTCATTCATAAGAAAAAGTTTATCTTCGGATGCGTTCTGAATTTACACCTCTTAAATTTTTATTCTTGCCTGTACTTTTATTTTGTGTGATTAAGTGATTATTGAAATTTAGTTTTTCGACGAATTAAAAAAAAATTAATAAACGCAATTAGTTATCATTATCAATTTAATGTCAACAATAATAAGAATAAAATATACCAACGGATTTATTACATAAGTAATGTACGACAAATCGTGTCATTATCTTTTTTTTTTTTCATCAAAAGAAAAAGTTAGTTGCACCGCAGTCCATCGTCAAGTTCGAATTTCAAAAACCTTTTCCACGTTAGCACGTAAAAAACGCTTTTACGCGCAGATTTCTAATGAGAAAGAAAGCCTTTCCGAGCTAGTGAGGTGAAAAAATAATTACATTGTTCAGCTGTCAATACATGGTAATTCAAAAATCTTAAATGCGGCTGCGCAGGAGACAGTCGTAAATAGTTCTTGATTCACAAAGACAAGAAAATTTTTCCCATATTAATAGGGTTCATATTGCTTGGGTCGAGCGGCACGGTCACTGACTTAATTTCAGAATTTATTTTTTTACAAACGAAACTAAAGCTATTTGAAAAACGTATATCGTATAGTATACGTGTTCTAATTAGTTCAGTTCATATTAAAAAAATCTTTGGTATATGTAAAGTACCTATTGAGTGCAGCGGTTTTCTTGCAAAATTTTGAGGTAAGTTTGTGTTTTTTTTTCTAACGTGTTAATTTTTAGGAATCGTGTTTTCACACCATACAGTATAATCAGTGTATATCCTCAATTTTAATATATATTTTTTCCAAAGTAATTAATTCAACATTTTCGCTGTTATGAGGAATTACCGGAGTTCCTCAGGGTCCCGTATTGTCCGCAACTCTCTTTCCTGCTACATATCAATGATATGTTAATTCAAGGTGCCTTTGGGTGTGCTGATGACAGCACAGATGTGAACAGGTACTTGACCAATGAAAGAGTCAGTGGAAAAGAACTCCAGTTTTGTTGAGAGTCCATGGTTAGTCGTTTGAATTTAACACTTAAGACAGTCTCCGATTGGGGCGATGCCAATCTTATCAAGTTTAATGCTACCAAAACGCAGGCGTGTCTCTTCTCAGGTAAACCTGGGGGAGTTTTAGTGGGGTATGCCCTCCAGTCTGAAAGGAAAGTCCCCACATAACCTCTGAGTCACCTTGGGCTCAGGGGTATCTATAAAGATTTTCCCTCTATTCTATGTCTATTCTCCACAAAATAGAGTTCCTTTCACCTGACTCCGACTTTTCGTGATATATCCATACCGATAACCGACCGTCTTCAGCTACTTGGAATGGACCTGTCGTCCAATCTGAACTTCGGCAGATGCATTAAATCCATGGTCAAAAATGCAGCCAGGAAGCTTGGCATCCTTTCCAAGGTGAGGCGTTAATTCACACCACCGGGACAGTTGCTTCAGCTGTACCAAGCACAAGTCCGGTCGTGTATAGAGTACTGCT